CTGTAAACCTTATTTTGCACAGCAAAGCAAATTCCCAGGACCCCCATGCCTTAGCAGTAATTCTTCAAATCACAACTAAATTAATAGAATCCTGGAATAATCTCCTCCAGAGCAAGGAGTTAACCATTAAGAGTTAAATACTTAAAAGCCATTTTGTCTTTGTGTATCTTTTGTGTCAGATCAATCTCATTCTAAGTATTGCTACTTTCTGAAAATTATATGTATGTATGTATGTATGTATGCATACATACATACAATGGCATTACAATTGTATGTACATAACAGTGTGCATAGACATGCATGCATATATATATATATATATATATATATATATATATATATATATGCATGTCAATGCACACTGTTATGCAACATGCCATTGTAATACTTGAAGGGAACATCTCCAGATTTCTTTAACGAGCTATTCTGCACTGGGTGCCTGGACCCTTAAAATATTGCCTTATAAAGCTCTTTAGATAAAATAATGAAAATTTTGTTGGATTACAATGTTTAGCAGATGAACAAAGCTATATTTCTGTGTCTTTAAGAAATAGGATTCACTTTGATTAAAAAAAAAAAACAATATCTGTCTATGTCAGACATGTCAAACACAAGGCCCGGGAGCTGGATGCAACCCGCGAAGTGGTTTCATGTGGCCCACAAAGCCATCCTAGTAACAGTGAGGAAACGGCCCCTGCTGCCTTGGCCCAGGCCAGCCGGGAGCCAATGTAGAATTTTGTGGTGGCCCTCTATGCTGAAACGCATTCAGTCTTAGCTCCACAAGGCCATCTAGGAACAGCGAGGAACCAGCCCCTGCTGCATCGGTCCCGCCCCCTGGGTTTATGCTGGGGAGGTGTTACCCTTTGTGAGGAATGAAGAAATGGACCATGCCTTGGCACTTGCCCAGTCCCACCCCCTTCTGCCAGAGACCCTCAGATCTGTCCCACTCTTGCCAAGGTCCCCACAGGCACCCTTCACGCAAACAATGTAGAGCTGGCCATGCCCACCCAGTAGGCCACACCCACTCCACCCACATCCACCCAGTAGGCCGCACCTACCCTGGCCACACCCATCCGGCCCCCCAAGAGCAACCGCAGTGCTGATGCGGCCCTCAATAAAATTGAGTTTGACACTCCTGTCTTAGAGTAATTGAATGTTACATGGAAAACTTTTGTCATAATTGATTTCAAGTTTCAGAAATACCAATGACACATTTTATTTGCTTTTCTCTTTTGCTGGCAGAGAGTTAGCAACATTACAAAAGGAAGCAGGGGCTATTGAGACCTCTCTGGAACAGAAGAAATTAGAAAAGCATAATAGGCTTCTTGATTGTAAGCTGCAAGATCTAGGAATAAACCTTCTTTTGGGATCTCTGGATGACATTAGTGAAATTGAGGTACAGTAGCCTCCTCTGTGGCGGAATCTTAAGGAAATTTTAGATGTTGGGAATCTGTTCATAATTGTGTAAGCCAATACAGCTGCATCAAACTAGATTTTTTTCAAGAGCTAAAAAGTGAATATTGATATTGTAAATATAAGAATTAAAGATACCAGAACTGAAGATGCTTCTTGGTTGAAAAACAAAACGTCTTCAAGGAAAAATGAAGTCCAGTTGCCTTTTGAAAAAGCACCTTTGGGGTGAGAATTAAAGATTGCTCATTCTGCATGATTTTTTTCTGTTCAGGTTTTAAAAAAATACATAATGAAAACATTTTAATCCCTCAAATGTTGGTTGGGTTTGGAGAAGTGAAATAGTTTGCTCTTTTCTTTATTTTAACTCTTACATATGAATACTAACTTAGCTATTTGTTACAGCTGGAACCTGATACTGAAAGCACAGAAGTCACTGCAGACATCTATGAAAGAGAGGAGGCGCTTCAGATAGACTATAGCAGTATTAGAAAACAGTTAAAGGTAATATAATGTATATCAGTGTTTCTCAACCTTGACAATTTTAAGGCATGTGGACTTCAACTCCCAGAATTCCACAGCCAGCAATGCTGGCTGTGGAATTCTGGGAGTTGAAGTCCACATGCCTTAAAATGGTCAAGGTTGAGAAACACTGATGTATATTCTTTCCATATCGGATATTGCTTATTACTCTAAGCAATTTACAACTGTATGATTTGCTTAATGACCATGTGATTTGGACTTAGGACTACATGATTTGCTTAATCACTGCAACAAACAGTTGTAAAATCAGTTCCGGTCATATAGGATGTCATGATTTATTTCTGAAATTCTAGTCCCAATTGCAAACATAGATTGAGTACTATTACCTGTAGTGTATAAAAAACATTTTCTGTTCAACTGAATACAAGGGTAAAAATGTGCAGCATGTTGCTGCAGTTTCCTACATGGCCCATAATGTCTAAAAAAAAAAATCATTTCATCGACTGAAATGATGTGGGAAGTGGTATTTCAGTCAATTTTTATTTAGGACTTCATAAAGAAATCTTGAAAGTGCCTTTCAGCCAATAAGTTTAAGTGCTCTTGTAGGTTACACTACTTCAGTTTTTTAAAGCAAGTACTTTAACTCACAATCATACAGTTTCATATCTGGTTTGATTCAGATTCTAAAAGTTGAATCTTTTACTTTACCTACCGGTAATTAAAATAGGGTAGTTTCAGCATCATGCCTATACAAATTATTACCAAGAAGTTTTATTTCTCCAGTGTACAATGAGTATAATAGAAGTGTTTGCAAAGTGTGGTCCTAAAAGAAAAAAATCAAGATGGCCATCATAATAATAAATTGAATCTCAGCCTGGTTTTTAGTGTATCGCACATAAAAAAGTAGGCAGAATTTTGATTGCACCACTGTAGAAATCCCCGGGATATAATGGGTAAACAAATAATACAAGGTATGACTTTCAAAAGGCATATTTCAAAAGTCATGCTATACTTGTATTCTTTTCTATTTTTAAAATTCTACATTATTTTATCATATTAATTAATGCTGTAGCTACCCATAGATCTACTCCACTTACTCTTGAGACTTCCAATCAGTCCTTAATGGTTGAGAAATATTTCTTGGTTGTTATCATCACTAATCATTTCATTTTACAATTAGGAATTGCAGTCTGACAAAGAGATTGAGACTCACTTAGAACAACTTCAGCAAGAAGTGGCACGTGAAGAAAATGTTTTGTTAAAAACAACAGCACCAAATCTCAAAGCACTGGAGAAGCTTCATATTATTACAGGCAGATTTCAAGAATCTGTCAATGGTAATTAATGCTAAACACTTCCTCATTAATTATTTGCAGGAATGGAGGCAATTTTCTTTTCCAGCACTTCACTTTGTTTATCTCTAATTTCGACTTTTGCCAGTGAATCAGATTTGGGCTCCAGTTCAGTTTAACTTTGTACGTATATGCAGGTTTATAAATATAAATCAGCATATTGTACACTACACCTAAACCCTTGTACATTTGAAGACTTCAGATGCTTCAAAAAGATCAAGAGGACCAGCACAGTAAACTAGTGCTGGCATGTGCAGTAGGACACAAATGTGTATGCTGTTTTGTTATTTCCAACTGTGTGCATAGCTGTATTGTAATACTGCTAAAAAAAAGAGAGAGAATAGTTACCGTAAATAATATATTCTTTTCAGAGTGATGATTATTTTGAAGCAAGGACAAAAAAAAAAAAACAGGACCAAATGTTGCCACATGAGGCTTATTTTTTAATTCTTTCCCTCCATTAAAATAATATTGCCTATAAATTGAAATAAAATGTATGTTTAAATTTTAGAGTACCCTGTGACACACATATTTCTGATAATAGTTATTTTTGTGTTTGCTGCTAATAATATAGGTAATATATTTAATAATATCAATGTTTAACTGCTGCATTTTGTTCCATTTAATCTTCCATAGTGTTTGAAGTCCATAGGAAGGAAGCCAGATTATGTAGGCAAGAATTTGAAAAAGTGAAAAAAAAGAGATACGAGAGGTTCAGCCAGTGTTTTGAGCATGTGTCAGTCGCTATTGATCAGATCTACAAGAAACTTAGTAGAAACAGCAGTGCTCAGGTTAATATTTCATTAATATTGATTAATTAAAACTTGAAATTTGACAACCGATACATCATACATCACTATTAAGAACCTAACATTACTTTATGTATGCTGTTTCCATGCTGGGCCGTAAATGTGAAAGTTGCTAAAGTGAGACATAAACAATAAAATGTAATTACAGATTGAAACACCCAATACAGGTTAAACAGTTACATAAAACAGTCTTAAAACTTTAAAACTTCCCTAAGAGGTCTTTTAATATCTGGAAAAAATAAATAAGAAGAGGTCTCATGCCCCCCCCCCCAAAAAAAGACTAGGTAAGCTTGAAGATGGAAGGCGTTGCACCACAGAGGGGTGTTACCCAAAAAGGATTTTCCTCTTGGTAGGAGCACTTTGAAGGGCCACATCTGGGCGTAGTAAGGTATGGAGTGATGTATTTGGGAGGAGGCAAACATAATTAATCAGTAACATGATTATTCCAGAAAGTAGTTTTAAAAATACATGCAGGTGTTGCGATCTTTAAGTAAGCATATTGTCTAGTGCAGATTGAATCCCTTTTCATCATCATCTCACTTAAGCTTCAGGTCTCTTGCCATTCTAACACCAAACAGCTTTTGTGAATTTATATGGAGAAATAAAATTAGATATCCTCAGAATTCCGGTGGCACCAAATTCCAAACACCAAACTTCAGATATCTCCGGGTGGAATTGTCTGTGTATTAAATAGCCTAGAGAACACAATATATCCCCTGAGGAACTCAAGACAATAATGACACTGTGAAGTAGCAGCCCAATTACCTTTGGAAACAACTCTCTGCTGCCCCTAGCAAAGAATGGGATCGTCATAAAACTGAGCTTAATGTCCTCTACTTATGAACTGAATGAGAAAATGTTGTGTCTTGTAGGCCTTTCTTAGTCCGGAGAATCCTGAAGAACCTTACTTGGGAGGTATCGGCTATAACTGTGTAGCTCCTGGGAAACGATTTATGCCAATGGACAACCTCTCAGGTGGAGAAAAGTCTGTTGCAGCTCTGGCTCTTGTGTTTGCAATGCACAGGTAACAAGCTGGGTCTTGCTACTGTTTTTGGAAAAGGAAGGTAATGCGAGAGGTATTTTTTCTACTAAATTGCTCAGATCGATCCTGTCTTCTCAGAGCTTCAAACTCTGTAGAAGGCAGTGATGCTCACTCCAAGGATTTCTAACAGAATGAGGCATTTCTTTGGGAGCGTATTTTATTTCACTGGCAGAAATGAGCAACTTTTCATAAACTTAAGACAAAATAAAATCTCCCCTCCCCCCCCCCATAATTCAGATTTCTTTTCTGGAGTGGCTGGGTAACAAACAAGATCCTTTTATGAGGGTGAAATTTATGCCATATACCTTTCAAATTAAACTTTTGTGTATAACCCTAGATTAGCTTCTGAATTTGATTATATTTTTAGGAGGAATGTTTCTATTGATATTTGGATACATCAGTAGATGATGTCATTACTTAGAATTAAAGTTCATATGCTAATCTATACTATTTTGCAAAATATCTATGAAATAATCAGGGTTGTTTTTAATCTCATAAAAATCATCAATAAATAAGTCAAATATCCTCAGAATAATATGTCCACAGGATCAGTATATTTTTGATGTTGAATATATTCTTGATCAATATTCTGCCCTCTTAATCTCTTTCCTAACTAACAATATAACTCCAGCTGCATTAATACTATTACCAATGATATGTGAAGTACCTGATTAATTTCAAATGATTTCCTCATTTCTGAGATAAGACTCTTGTAAAAATATAAAATATAAAATCAGCTTTTTATCTATTTATTAAATATCTTTCTATTATTTAAAATATCTTTAAGGATATTTCATATACCCTTAACATTTGAATACAGTATTTATTTGTTTGTTTTTTATAGAATTTATTTGCTGCCCATCTATTAGCAAAAGATTCCAGGTGGCTTCTAGCACTGAAACATTAACATCATAACAAATAAAGGTCTTTAAAAGAATAAAAATAGAAATTGTAATATCAGAGATCTGGAAAGATCTGGAACTTACCTTTTTTAAATTTCACTGAAGAGATTTCACATGCCTTTCCCAAACCATATCACAAATTGTCGTCCTGATAAATATGACAATAATTGGAGGAGCACTCAGTGTTCAAACTGATTCTAACTTTGTATACATCATTCGTTTCCAAATCCAGTTCAGGTAATAACGACTACCTCTTGAAAACATTTTCCCCCAAACTCAGGCAAAAATAAGTCTTCAATATCTGTTGGTAGACTATATATTTCTAAGTATTTGTGAGTCAGCTCCCCATATACTGTAATCAAGGCTTCATTGTACAAAGTAGATTTTTTACTTGCTTTTGAATTATAAAGGTGGCAGCCTTCGGCCTGCAATTCATGAGAATTGACCTCTCACTAATATTTAATAAATCATTTAATTGTGTTTACTTTGTTCTTTCAGTTTTAGGCCTGCTCCCTTTTTTGTTTTAGATGAAGTTGATGCAGCTCTAGATAACACAAACATTGGAAAAGTAAGTCATCTATTTATCTGCTTACTGTATCTATATCCAACTTTTTATTTATATAACCCGGCAGGGTATATAATGATCTCACCTCCTATTTTGCCTATTACGACAACTCTGTGAGGTGGGTTGGGATGGGAGAGAGGGATTGGTCCACAGTTACCCAGCTTGTTCCATGCCTAAGGCAGGATTAGAACTGTATTCTAGCCTGCCTATCTTCCTTACTCTCTACAAATATTGACAAAGAAACATTGGCAGATAACATTTATTGTGTTATCCAGTGTGGAGTTGTCTGCAGTAAGTTGGCCTTGGCAAGGTGGCCACAGCAAGGTAGCTGTGGTCACAGGGCCACGACGAATTGTCCCATTCCTCTCAGGACTGTCTTCCTCCAGTAACATCTAGCACAGTGGTTCTCAACCTTTTTAATGCTGTGACCCCCAACCAGTCGTAAGTCGAGGACTACCCAACCGGTTGTAAGTCGAGGACTACCCAACTGGTCGTAAGTCAAGGACTTTCCCTGCCCGGGAGCGCCGCGCACATGTGGTGCCGCCCCCTGCACCGGCCGAGGTGTAGCTGGCAAGCGGCAGAGACGGCACAGGCCGACCACCGGCTGGGCCACCAGCTGGCCCATCCCAAGGGAGGTAAAGCACCCGCCGGGCCCCACGCACACCAGCAACCCTCCCTGCACCCACCAGCCTCCTACCCCTGGCCCTCTTTTACTTACATTTTTAGTAGTTGCTCAGCAGGGAGGGGTGGAAGCTTCCAGACAGCTCACCTTCGCTGCAGACAGCTTGCAGCACTGTTTGCAGAATGGGATTTTTGGCGGACTCAGCAGGGCAGAGACAGCCTGGATAATTCCTATTGGCTTTTGAAAGCCAATAGAATTAGACTCTATTCAAGAGAGTCTATTCTATTGGCTTTCAAAAGCCAATAGAATAAAAGGGAGTAGTACAGCTAAGGAAAAGGGGGAAAAAATGGCGGACTGCGTTGTTTGGCGACCCCCGTGAAATGGTCGTTCGACCCCAAATGGGGTCCCGACCCACAGGTTGAGAACCACTGATCTAGCACATGGACCCTGAATGGCCCCCATCTTTAAAGGCTTGGAAGCATGCCTTCTCAATTCTCCTCCCGTCGGTGGAGGAATTAGTTTATTTTGGATAGAGCTCCCAATATAATGTTATTCTGTGTAATCTTGTTTTCAAATTTATTTATTTTTTTAATGTCAATTATTTATTGGGAGTTATACAGCACTCAAGAGTTACCTTATAAAGAAATAAGTTTTAATAACTCAGAAATAACAGTTATTTTTTTATCATAGTGCATTCTTCCTCTTTTTTCTAAATGTAACAACTTAAATCACAAATATAGTAAATAAAGTTTAAATATATAGTCTATTTTTACATAGTACTTTTTCAGCCAATATACTTATATACTGTACCTTATATAAGTGTATTGGCTGAAAAAGCACTATGTAAAAATAGACTATATATTTAAACTTTATTTACTATATTTGTGGTTTAAATCAAATTTGCCCAGCAGCTTATTTACCAATTTATAAAATAAATTTCCTTCCGAATCATATTATATTTCATATAACTCTAGCAATTTTCATAGCCATCCCTTTTTTTCTCTCTCCAAAAAGGTATCAAACTTTATTAGGCAGCAATCAGAAGAAAACTTTCAGATTATAGTTATTTCTTTGAAGGAGGAATTCTATTCTAAAGCAGATGTTTTAATTGGAGTCTGCCCTAAAGTAAGTAATGCCTTTCCCCGATTTATTTCAGAGATGCAAAACAAACCCAGCTTCTATTAAATGAAATTTTAATGATTTTGAAAACCATCCCTATATCACAATAAGATGATCTGTGCTCAATCTCTCTTCCATTTTCAGCAAGATGACTTTATGTTTAGTCAGATACTGATCCTGGATCTTGCTCGATATTCAGACTCTGAGGAGAATGAAAGACACAAAAGGAAGAAGAGCTCTGTGCTTTAATGCCTGTTGATTTTATTAAGTTACAGCTCTAGATAAGGTTAAATGTTGTGTTGGTTAAATGTAGTTACAAAGGCACTTACTTTAGTTTAAAACCACATCGCGAAATAGTTAATGTAGAACTGATTAACGTTCTGAAGTATGTTATCCAAGTATACTTTTTTGGGATGAACATTGATGGTTCATATCTGCAATACCTGAGACCCCAAACTAGAAATTCAAAACAGAGAAACAGTGTAGTACACATTGTAATAAAAACAGAAAAGGAGGGTTGAAGAAAACAAGACTTTCCATTCTGTTTTTCTTCTTGTAGCTTTAGCATTAACTTGAAAGATCCCACATACGTATTCCAAACAGCAGCACATATAAAACTATCAGAGAAACTAAAGCAGTAGGATTCAGACTAAATACTGTATAGGGAAGGGCAGTATAGGCTATAAAGCTTTCGTTGTTTTTGTGTATTCTGTCTTTTAGCCATGCATTTTTTTTTTATTTGATCAGGGCTTTGGGGTCGTATTAGAAATATCTGCATGTACAGTCATGTCTGTCTATCATTCTGGTCACTGTAGGACAGGGGTCTTCAAACTTTGCCCTTTTATGACTTGTGGATTTCAACTCCCAGAATTCCTCAGCCAGTGTGCCTGGCTGAGGAATTCTGGGAGTTGAAGTCCACAAGTCATAAAAGGGCCAAGTTTGAAGACCCCTGCTATAGGACTAACTGCCAATTTGGGGGCATTTCAAGTGAATGCTAATCTAGTTTCAGGTGAACATCTGTAGACAGTGTGATGTACACATTAGAGATTTCAATTAATAGTTCTTGATGTAGATTTAGGTTTGTCCACCATATACACTTGTATTTGAAGATTGTTAAATAAAACAATCCTAGCGTTCGGATATCAAGTTTCCTATCTACTATGTGTCTTTTCTATATGGAGAGCTAAACTTTATTGCAAGCCGGAGTGAAATTTACCATCTAATTTCAGATTAACATAAGTTTAATTTTATCTTAATAGATCATTTTTATCACATGACATTGAGAAACATCTTTGCATGAGTAAAGGATGTGTTATGCTTTATATCAGTTCATCAACTTTCAATCGTTGATTTTTTCAGATCTAATAGATGCACAAGAGAACATCTCTGAATTATATAGGAAATTATTTATTCAGATACAAAGAAATTAACACACATAACAAAATTTCTCATTTTGTTCAAGTTTTTTTCTTCAAGAGCTTACAAAACATATAAACTAGTGATGGCAAACCTTTTAGAGACCGAGTGCCCAAAAACTGGTCTCGTCCCTGCCCCACCCCCGCTCTGCCCCCCCATTCCCGCCTGCCCACAGGACCACTCACCGCCTCCACGGCCCGCCGCAGATCGCCCAGCAGCGCCATGGCAGCCACACCCTCTGCCCGCACCCTGCAGCATCAACTGCATGATGGGGTGTGAGGGCAGAGTCTTGTCTACGCTGCTTGGCTGCCATGTTCTTGGCTGCACTGCTCCATATGAGCCACGCTCAGGGGCGACTCTCCTTCAGGGGGGCTGCTGGAGAGGAGGGGGTCGTGGGGGGAGGCAAGGCTGGGGCAACAGCACGCGTGCCCACAGAAAGGGCTCCGAGTGCTGCCTCTGGCACCCGTGCCATAGGTTCGTCACCACTGATATAAACCTTGTTACATTAGAATAGTATTTCTCAACTGTGGCAACTTTAAGATACTGTATATGGACTTTAACTCCCAGAATTCCTCCCACCAGGCTGGCTGAGGAATTCTAGGGGTTGAAGTCCACACATCTTCAAGTTACCAAAATTCAGAAACACTACTAGCATATAGCCACTGATCTTTTGCAGTCGTGTAGCCCTTCAAGAGAAGGGACAGGCTTCCTGTGTTTAACTTACAGTGCATGGATTAAAATAAGATGGGAGGAATTAAAAGTTAAAAACTAAATGATATTTCAGAGGCCACACCTCCCTCTTTTCCAAGATTTCATCCCTGAGATATTTAGAAATTTGCTCGTCCCTAAGAACAGCTATGAAATGTTATTGGATATGATATTTATAAGGATCTCACCCTCCCAAGCAGACATTGTAAGAAATCTACACCTATCCATTATTTGACTCCCAGCAGATGCAAATGGCCAAAGTCAGGAGGTGTTTCTCAAGGCCTGGTCTGATATAGTCACAGGAGGACACCATCTTCAGCAGGATCTGTTTAAAACAACATAAAAGTCAGTTTTGTCCATCTCGGCCCACATGATTTAAAACAGTTTATCATGCATAACCATAGGAGAAAGGAATGCTCTCAGTCAATCCAAGCTATATTTAGTTAATTAGATTGTGCAGGATTCAAAATTTCTTCCATCTCCTGACTGTCATCTCCAATCATTGGATTGCTCCTGCAATCCGGTTCTTCCCCCCCCCCCATCAGAATGGGATAAGAAGCATCGGAGTCTTGAAAATGTCTCCTCCTTTTAACAGCGACGCTCAGACTAGAACCCAGTGCGTTGTTTTCTTTTTTTGTACAAAGTAAAGCATGAAGCAATCTACACCACTCATGATTTACAAAAAAGAGAAAATGACTCAAAAGCCAAATAGAACAATCAGTAAGTTGGTCAACATTATGCAATTCTGACAGGATTACCAAATCTAAAAAAAGAGTTAATTGGACTTTCAAAACAATCATTCACTTTCAAAACTACTTACTTTTTTTTTTAAAGTGTTTTTCCTCTCTAGGTTTATACACACACGTGCACATAACGGTGTCTATTCCTTTAGTATGAACTATTGTTGAGCAATAGTTCTGGCTTTTCTTGACATGCCAGAAGATAGCACAGATGGATCTACTCATTCAAGATCTTGGTTGGTGACCTATGATGACCTCAGTGTTCCCTCTTGTTTCCAGTGCTGATATTTTCACATTTACATGAAACTGCAGGAGGAATCGTTTAGGGATAAGAGCACCCAACTCTGCTGTTCCCACATCAATATATACAAATAAATATTGGGCCAATCAAATACCAAACTCTAACCATATTGCACAGATGGCTAAATCACTCTGATTGTTCTCACACTATTATGACCCCTGTTAAGATAAGTGTTAGTGTGAGAAAGGCTAATGAATATTGGACAGTGTCAATACAACCCTTGAGGTAACCTCACACTTGCTACAAAAGACATAATTCAACCATCCCCACAGCTAAATATGGATAAGACTAAGGAGTAAAGCGTGAGCTGCCCTGCCATCATAAAAATAAATGCAGAAAAGGTTTTCCAAATAGATACAAATTCCTTTCTAGTTACCCAGTACCAGTGATCCTTGACTTACAACAGTTCATTTAGTGATCATTCAAAGTTACAACATCACTGAAAAAAGCCACATGACCATTTTTCACCCTTACGACCGTAGCAGCATCCCCATGGTCATGTGATTTACATTCAAATGCTTGACAACTGGTTCATATTTATGATGGTTGCAGTGTCCCGGGGTCATGTGATCATCTTTTGTGACCTGACAAACAAAGTCAATGGGGAAACCAGATTCACTTAACAACTGTGTTACTAATTTAACAACTGCAATGATTCAGTTAACCAATGTGGCAAGAAAAGTCGAAAATGCGGCAAAACTCACTGAACAAATGTCTCGCTTAGCAACATAAACTCTGGGCTCAATTGTGGTTGTAAGTCGGGGACTACCTGTACACACAAGCTATCCACAGTGCCAGAAGACACAACTTGCAAGGCAAGAGGTGCAGGGTCTCAACTGACATAATGCATGCAGGCTTTGCAGAATTTAATCCCTCCAGTGGCACAGAAGCCCTGGCAGAACAGCCCTGGCAGTTTGTCTTCCTAATTTAAATAAAATCTGGCATTCAGATAAATCAGGTGCCTCATATTGTCGAAGCTTTTCTCCAGCTCCTTGTTGACAAGCTAGATATGTTATATGACTATATTATATGTCTTCTTCAAAATAAAAAGAATTGGAAATGATAATTACCATCCTTCGGATATCTAGCCTTCTTGGCCCGGTCGTTCCCACTCTCTCCTAACCTTTTTGTGCAATCTGCGCAGGATGTCCCTGTAGGAAGAAGTGTTACCAACAACATATGTGCAACAACGTTAATGATTTATGTGAAAATGTTGGCATCATTTTCATTCTGGCTCTATTGAGATAGGTTTTTTCCTATCCACAAGGCTAGAACAGAGACTCAAGAGTCACAAGAAAAATATCTAATCACCAAATTGTGTGTGTGGGGGGGGTTGTAGTCAAAGAGTGTAATTCAGCACCAAAGCCAGTATAATGTTAACACAACTTAATTGTAGCTAAATATGCCTTCTTTTACTTGAGGTGAAGACCAGTGGTGTCCGTGGGGAAGATCAAAATATGCAAAATGTTTTGACATCCCACTGCTGACAATCCTGGAGAAAGATTTTTCAAATATGCCTTCCCCAAAAATGACTGTACACCCTTAACCAGCAACAAGATCATTAGGATTCATACAGCTTTAAATTTTGGCTCTCTTATTTAGTTCTCGGCTTATCCAGGAGAAAGCTCGCAGACAAAATCAATAGATTAATTGCTTTGCTATAGCCAAGAATGAAATGGTAGATGAAAGATTTGTCCACAACTATATACAATGTTATTTGGTTGGTCTCCACTCCTGGATTTAAATTCTAGGTCTTCCTCTGCCTTTACAAACCAACTGATACTCTGCTGGTCTTTGAGATGGCACCTAATCTAACCACAATGCCAGTAAGGATGGAGAACTATGCTTTCATACTTGCAGGACTGATGTCAACCTTACTATGTAGATTAGACAGGAAACTCAGCCAGATAAACTAATTCTACTTTATTATGAATGAGTTTTTATTTTTGAATTCTCCCTCTTTTGCTCTCTATCTCAATATCCTTATCGTTTAAGAAGTTATTTGCTTGTGGGTTTTTTTTTTTCAGTTGGAAGGGGGGGGGGGGCAAAAAGGACTTTGTACTTCTACAAAAGGCAATATTCTTCTGGAGATGTAAGAACCAACTCCAAAAGGCCCAGATCAGTCCGTTACAGGGGGAAAAACAGAACCGTCTGGAACAAGCAGCTTCATGTTGCATGTTTTATGTGTTTATGTACAATATGCATGTACTTAAATTTATTATAGCCACCCATTCCAGCAAGTTCTGGGCAGCTTACAAAATCTACTGCTAAGTTAAAACCATTAAAAACATAAACAGCCATTGAAACATAGCCTCCCCCTTATTGCTAGTTCTTGCGCATTAATAAGCATCCATTGTGAGCCAAATTTCACTTCTGCTAGAGAACAAAATAAGTTATATTGCAGAAAAATGAAGTCATGTGGTCAAATTCAGGTTTTTAAGAGCGAATTGCAAGAGGGGGATGTGGGCATGCATAAAGCCCCAGCTAGAAGGACCTTGAAGCAAATGGGGCTACGTTACAGCTGCAGGCCCCATCCCTGGTGTGGGGGTTTCCTTATGGGGATCCTGTTTGGGGACAGAATCAGCCAGTCAGCTCCGAATCCCCACACAAGCTGAAGCCCCACTGATTTCAGCAGCAGCAAAGTGAGACTTCGTCAGGAACCATCCTAAGATTTTAATGTTCACATTGCTCCAGTGATTGTCCAGTTAATGCCAAGAGATTATCACCATTTGAAATTTGAAGAAATATGTTGAAGGCTATACTTTACCCCAAAGGGTTGTGCTATCCACCCTGTCTGCATCTAGAAAAAAAAGGAGAAAATTAAGCAATGAATTAACCTGGGTACAATAGTTTAAAACATGCCTCTAGGCAAACTTTTAAATTTAACAGTAAACCATATATACACCTTGGGTTTTCAGTTTCATTAATAACTTAGTTCTGTTTTATTGATAGTAACACTTCCCATTAGCAAAGGAAGGCACAGAAGCGGAAAGAGAATGTTTGTGGCTCAAGTTGAACTGTGGGGTCCTTGGTGCTCTCTGAGCTTGATTATTTTCTTGCAGACATTTCATTACCAAACTGGATAACATCATCAGTGCTAGAAGAGAGTGGGGTTTGCTCTCAAACTGAGAGCAACCGATCTCAGAGAGCACAAAAGACCCCATAGTCATAGAAGAGACAGTCTTGGAACAATAGAGTGCAATTAGCAGAATTATTAAATTACAGCATTTCTCCTTTGTGATGCCAGTGGTCCTTCCTTCCTTCCTTTCCTTCCCTTCGACCTAAACATATACAAATAATATATTGCAATGTATGCTTTGACCTAAGATACGGGTAGGCAACCTTGGCTCTTTTATACTTGTGGACTTCAACTCCCAGAATTCCTGAGCCAGCCATGCTGAGGGGAAAGGGAGAGGTTTCCAAGCTGAGCCATGCTGGCTCAGGAATTCTGGGAGTTGAAGTCCACAAGTCATAAAAGAGCCAACGCCTATTCCTGACCTAAGACAACATTTTGGATCAGTAGAGACATCTGGGATTTTCTGTACGTTCTAACCACAGAATGGTTGGCTTGGTGTGTTTTGTGTATAAATCAAAGCAGGGGTGTCCACAAGGTCTGCTCAAAAAAATCAAGATGGCGGCAGCAACTGTGTAATCGAAGCTTTGCTTGTTGTGTGCATTGTACCCATTGTGTCTTCACTTTAAAATTAGACATGGCTATTACGATCAACATCAGTTGAAAAACTCATTTCAAAGTTGACAGTTATCAAAGACATCCAATGGAGGAGCTGCATAGATACATGGCATCCTTATTTTATAAGGGATCTGAACCGCTGCAGTCTCTAATTTTTCAACTAAGTCATATTGTATTTTTATCTATTTTATTTCAGAATATTTATAGGGCCGCCCAATTCACTGAATGACTTCAGGTGGCTTACAAACATAAAAACCCAATATAAAAACAATAAAAAACAATCACCACCACCACCATCCTTGCTGCCCTGGCAACAACAGTCAGTCAATCTAATAAGCCGCTTGATGAGCTCCATTCTATCAATAATTAAAGGTTAAAACATTTTAAAGGAGCAAAAGAAAGCAGGATGGTAACTAACATAATTTTTCATACAACACCTGGACTTATTTGTTTGCAGATCTGTGCAGTGAGATCCTGGAGATACCCTGGGAAATCTTCAAAGCAATCCCCATAGGACACGACTTTTATGCCATGCACAAGCATATCGGCCTGAAATTTAAAGAACTGGTCTTCATTTTCTTTGCGCACCAACATGTAATGTTCTAGTTCCACTTTGTTTTTAAGCATGTAGAGAAAGAGAGCTTGAAAGATTTGATCACGCAGGGTCTCCCCACAGCCCACAAACAAAAAGGATTTCCTCCGGTATAGGTTCTGTAGTGCTTCCTATAAAAAAAAAACAAGAAGCAGTTACTCAATTAAATGTTTGTGTCATGAACTGTTTGGAGGCTGACCTCATTTGATTTGAGCTGGCAAAGTGCAAGACATAATCTTAGGCCGGGGAGACCTCAGCTAAGATCTCTCTACTGAGTTAAGCACAGGGACAGCCCACTGAGGAGTCAGTCTATCCCACTCTGATATCTAAGAAGCTGCGAAAGTAAAGATCCACTAGTCCTTCCCATGTCTGTCAAATGCTTCTCACACTATATGAATATGCTCTATAGCAGCTGTAGTGAACATAAAGTTTTAACTTAGTTATCGTGGCCCAACTTAGCTATGCCTAAATGGATCATTGTCCCAAAAGGATGCACAAATGCAATCCATCAGCTCTTCTCAGTACTTTTCAGGCACAGCTGACCTATAAGACTGCATGGTTCAACAATAAGAATAGCAACAGCATTAGCACTTGGACTTATAGTCCACTTTGTAACATTCTCTGAGAGGTTTACAATTGCCTCCAATAATCCGGGCACTCATTTTACCGACCTCGGAAGGATGAAAGTCAACCTTGAGCTGGTCAGAACCGAACTGCTGGCAATCGGCAGAGTTAGCCTGCAATACTGCATTCTAACCACTGCGCCACCACAGCTTCTCAATAAAAAAGTTTATCCAGCCTTTGGATCCACCTACCATCACTTCAGGGTCTTGAGTCACTTCCTGGTATCCTGAGGGATCCAGCACCATTCCACAGGGATCAGTGTACAAACCATGAATATGAAGGACACCATATCTGAGGAGACCTTTGGCCCATTGGAGAACCTGAAGAGAGACCAGCTGTTCAGTAACACAACTTGCAGAAGGCGTCTAGGCTCCACCAACCCAAGAGATGTATACATTTTGATGACAGAATTATTATGTCCTTGCTTGGTTGCTTCAGATACCATCTGGTAGCTACTGTGATGATCTCATGTATTTCATAACATAGTCATTCAAAGGTCAACTTATACAACTTGTGTGATGATGTTATGGCCCTCATGATGACCTCCCAACTCCTCACTATGGATGCCCAGAGAGTACACTGCAACCTTTAGGTTAGTATTTCTCAAACTTAGCAACAATAAAATGAATAGACTTGAATTCCCAGAATCCCACAGCTAGCCATGCATTGCCTAAATGACTAGCACTTTTCTTTACCATCTTCTTGATGTTACCTAATTGAACCATCTCCAAGACTTCAAAGAAACAACCTTCTCTAGCTGCTTAAAAATTAAGATTTGTAAAGAGACTTGTAGCCAATGATATTAAAAGGGCATTAAAAAACTATATAATTATTTAGCAAATGACACACCTTAGAACAGAAAGAATACCACATATCTAAAGATCACTGTGTAATGAAGAAGGTATCTCCTTTGAAGACTGCAATACAGTCTTCATTACAGAAGGATCTTTAGATATATGGTGTTCTTTCTGTTTTAAGGTGTGTCGTTTGCAAAATGTTCTAAGGTGTGTCGTTTGCAGCCCACTATCAGGCCGCGACCTGCTTGAAACCAGGCCGCACGAGCGATGGGCAAGTGAAACTCCAGTTGTGTGAGCGGAAGGCACTTGTGCTCGTGCGTGAAGCTCCAATTGCATGAGCAGAGGGCACTCACGCACAAAGCTCCATTTGCATAAGTGGAAGGCACACACACCTGCCGCTTGCACCAATCGAGCTGTGAGTGTGCGCCTGCCACTTATGTCCCCCCCCCCGCCCCAGCACTGGGCTGGGCTGCCAAGCTGGACAGGTTGGGGACCGCTGCTGTAGGTCAGTTCTATCAAAACCCAACAGGGTACCCTCAAACAAGTAAAACTGGCAGCCATTACTGTGATGCATATTAGAACAGCAGAAATTTGACTGTACCTTTGTGCTGCCATTTTTACGTTTTCGTACATTTCTCCTGATGTTCCTTATCTATTTCGATGAAATCTGAGAGATGGGGCTGACCTTTCATATTTTCAAACAGGAGCTCGCACATGTGCAGTATTTATTGGTGACATTATACCTTGTCTTTATCTTTCAGGTCAAGCGATTCCATAGCTTTATGCTGCTGTTGCCCAAAGATTTCAAGTAAATTGTCGTAATTGGTGGTCAGCACCATTGTGCCCCGTTCCATTAGTTGAAGGATGGACAAGAGGACAGCAGGATGCTGAATGTGTTGGTCCAAGTTGTCAAATACCTCCATTAAACAGTCCTGGAAAAAGTTGGGCTTAGCATCCCCGGTGCGCTGCGGAAGGAAACTGAAACAGCTTCAGGGAAATGGAATGATTTATATCTTAGACATTTTGGATGATGTTGGAACTGCAAAACATTTCCACATTAGACATGACCTATTTTCAGGGCTACTCACTGCTCTTCAGACCATCTTATCCCCTGAAACTTTCAACATGCAACTCTGATTCTTCCATTGATGGGCTAAGAAATTACGTCATTAAGACAGTCTTTTTTCTACTTTAGGAGGCAGCTGAACAGATTTATTTTTACCTGGGCATTTAGAGCAGTGGCTCTCAACCTGTGGCCCACGGACCCCTGGGAAGGCATGATGTCACCCCCCACCCCTGCCCTAGCTTCATTTTTAGGTGTGTGCCTTGCCCCAAAACTAGGGCTTATTTTTGGGGTAGAGTTTTATTGGGCCCACCCCCCCAAAATCAAGCTAAGGCTTATTTTCGGGGTAGGCCTTACTTTTGGGGAAACAGGGATATCTGTCTGTCTGTCATAAGTCAAGGACTACCTACAATGGAAAGCCTGACCAGGGATACAGTTCCACTTATATCTTCAATTTCAAAGCAGGAATAACATTCACTTCAGATCCTTATCTGAGAAATGCTCACCGGTGACATCTTTCGGATTAAATCATGTGCAACCACAAGCAAATCTCGGTCTTTGGAGACTTTTTGCCGGAAATCAGCCACATCTCCAGGATGCAACACTTCTAGCTGGTCAGCTGCTTCAAGGACCGCTTCAATGCAACTCCGCCACGAACACAAGGCTGGGATTCCTGGCGCAACAGCAGCACTCACCCCTGTTCCAATTACTAGCAGGAGTTCTTGGGGCCGCTTCTGTATAAGGCTTTTCAAAAATTTCCTAAAGAGAAGTCCAGAAAAACTCTTATTTTGGATCACAACTGCTGCGTCTCTAGACAGTCACTTGATTATGTCATAAATTAAAACTATCCAATCCCCTTACAGGACCAGGAAGACAGATTGCAAAATAATTATGAGATTCTGAAATCAACAATGGAGATTAATCAAGCCATCCAGAGCTGTCAGGAGTTGGGTGGGATACAGGTTCAATGGAAGAAAGGAAAGGAAAGAGGAAGGAAGGAAGGAAGGAGGGAAAACAACTAGGATGGGGGAAAACTTTGCTTGATAAACATGTACTATGTGCATCTTCCCATTTTAATTCTACCCTTGAGCTGAAAGGAGAAAAACAAAGATTACAGTACAGTAGCTTTAAAGTTGCCCTTATTTTAATAAACCAAATAGATTTTAGGGGTAATCAACAGGATAAAAAGAAGAGATAAAGAATGGGCACAGTCTTGATTAATCTGGAAAAAGGACATGTGAAGAAGCAAGATTTTTAAAAAGAGGTTTCTGCTTTTAGGCGTAAGGAATATCCTTTTGTGCCAAACAACTTGATTATGAAATGGCAACAGTAGTGAGCCAAATAAGAAAGAATGGAAAGATGGTCTGTCTAGGAAAGGTGCTCTCTGAAATCGTCATTAATAATCATCTTCCCATAGAGGGGTCAACAACAAAAAAAGAAGTCCTGCCCCACAACATCACATTTAAAAAACGGGCAGCGCTTCAACTGAGTGGTTGTGATTACCAGTTTTGTATGTTTTGACAGACATAAGCTTCCCAGGACACCCCTGTTTACAGATTATCAAGTTTAACCTTTTATTCTTTTATTTACCTTGATTTCTGCTCCCCTTTATGCATCTTTTTTGAAGGCTCCATTCTCTTTCTCCCCTTCCTGCGAAGTAAGAATGCATGGAGTCAGGGAGTTTTTTTCATGAGCAGCTACACCAGCTGATGAGATTAATTGATTAAAAACGTAGTTCAATAAAACTCAGACAAAGCAATTTGGACAACTTGACAGGAACCTATCCTATCTAAGGCTATTCTAGTGATGGCGAACCTTTTAGAGACCGAGTGCCCAAACTGCAACCCAAAACCCACTTATTTATCGTTGGGTGCCAGGTGGGCGTGGTCCACTGGGTGGGCGTGGCTGTGGTGGTCATGGCAGATTGGGTGGGTGTGACCAAGGTGGGCGTGATCACCTCGATGTTGCTTGTGGGGAGGGACGCGTGTGGGGGCCGGGCAGGGTTGGGGGAGATCCAGGGGGTCTCTGGCAGGTGGGGTGATGGCAGGAGGCTCGTCCTGCGGGGTGAGGCAAGGTGAGGCAGGGCGGGGGTGCCATTGTCACGGCAAGGTGAGCCAGGGGCCAGGGCGGCTGCTGCCTGACACCATTGGCCCCTGCACACAGAGGCCAGCGAGCGCATGGGTGCTGGAATGCATCCAGCCATGTGGGACCTCGGCGAGTTAGCGGGCAGCTGGTTGAAGAGGGACGGTTGCCATCTCCGGGGCATGGCGCACGTGCTCACAGAGAGGGCTCTGAGTGCCGCCTCTGGCACGCGTGCCATAGGTTTGCCACCACTAGGCTATCGTATCTAGAATACAGCTGTATAGTGTCCTTCAAGGAGCCAAGTTTTTTGGCATGTCTTTGGTGCTACCAAAACGCCCCTCTGGATTTCAGCCCTTGTTGTTCTTCTTCCCTTCATAGGCCACCTACCTCCCCCACCCAAGGGAGGGTGGGCACTAATATGAAAGAAAGGATGTGAATATTCATACCGTCCCGTCCTTGCTCCCAATAGAAACAGCAAAAAGAAAAAGAAAAAAAAAGAAAGAGAACAAAAAGATAAGAAAAGGTAGCGATAGAACACTTGCCCTGACAAGGGAAGGAATAAGAAAAAAAATATAATACAAATTGGGTTTAAATAATTTGTCATCAAAGTTTAATCTTTAATTGATTCTGTTTTTCAGTGGGGATAGCCACTGCTTCTTTAATCTGCACTCTCAATTCACAGCTGTCTAAAACTAATCTCATCTTCCGGTCATGTAGCAGTAATACTGATGTCATTTAATTTTTATAACCAAGCTTTGCATAATGTTGCTATAATGTTCATTTTTTGTACTATGGCAGCTGCAAGATTCAGAACTATTAGATGACAGCCAAATATAAAGAAAACTTTGCTGGCATCTTGTGGTCATTTTAGGATTTGCAGCCCAACAAGCTGAACTTGATCTTGCAGACTTAGAATTTAGAATAATAAGAGCTGGAAGGGATCGTAGAGGTCTTCTAGCCCACCCCTGATCAAGCAGGAGACCCCATGTCATGGCAGACAAGTGGCTATTCCATCTCTTCTTAAAAATCTCCAGTGGTGGAGTGGCTGCAAACTTCCAGAGGCAAGCCATTCCAATGACAAATTCCTGGGTGTGCAGTTAACAAGTAGGCTGGCTTGGTCGCTCAAAAGTGAAAAACTGGTGAAGCGGGCAGAGCAGCGCCTGCATTTTCTGCGTCGCATGAGAAAAGCACATCTTCCTTCCCCTGTCCTGACCACTTTCTATAGGGGGACAATCGAGAGCATCCTGTCATACAGCATCACAGTCTGGTTTGGAGGCATCCCTGCTTCAGACAGGAAGGCGGTGCAGAGAGTTGATTATAACAACAGTTAACAGAAGGTTTTGAAATTTTGTCTTTTTTATCATTATTGTTCTTCCTGTTAACTATTTTGTCATTAATGTAGTATATAGAAGACAGGTTAATAATTTGCAAATAAAATTAGTAGTCTAGAGCAGCGACAGGCAACCTCGGCTCTTTTATGACTCGTGGACTTCAACTCCCAGAATTCCTGAGCCAGCCATGCTGAGAGGAAAGGGAGAGATTCTAAGCTGAGCCAAGCTGGCTCAGGAATTCTGAGAGTTGAAGTCCACGAGTCATAAAAGAGCCGAGGTTGCCTACCCCTGGTCTAGAGGTTTAAAACTTTTTGGGTCTGTTTCGCAAAGGGTGGGAAAATAATACTGTTGTAATATATTAATCAATATTCAACTGGGGGGATATGTATATAGGTATTAGTTTCTTGATGCACTTTTTAAATGTTTGTGTTGTGTTTTTTATTTGTCTCTTTCAAACAAATTTGGTGTCTCATATTTTAACTTTTTTTAAAAAAAATAAAATAAAAATAGAAGAAAAGAAAAGAAAATTTCTCCTTACTTCTAGGTTGCTTCTCTCCTTGATTAATTTCCATCCGTTGCTTCTTGTCCTGCCCTCATGTGCTTTGGAGAATAACTTGACTCCCTTTTCTTTGTGGCAACCCCTCAAACATTAGAAGATTGCTATCATGTCATCATCCTGTCATTTTGGCAAGCTACCTTTTACCTACCTTATAAGAAAAAGGGAGTTTCCAGGAACTGAATCAGCAACTGAAGGCAGAACTTGTTACTTGTTTCTTTTGACCAAGGACAGCAGCCACTCGGTCTCTGGCAAGGCTCTGGCAGCAATAGAAAAACCAAGTTTTCAAAGCAAAGAAAAGGGATGACAATAATCCCTGAGTCGAAACAAAAGCTGCGTTCACACATTGGACTTAAGCCAGCCTTAATTTGTTCCGCTTTGGATGAACATGATGCAGCCTAAAAACTGTGGTATTCAGCTGAGTAGAGGTGCCCAGGGGCATGATCCAAACGGTCAAGATGACCTATTTCCTGTCCCACAACCTAGAAGGGGAAAGTCCCAAAATCCTTAAAGGTTTCACCTGGTTACCAAAGAAAGAAAAAAGAAAGAAAGTTCCTCCTTTTCTTGCTTCACCTTGTCAAAGGTGGGAGTGAAGAAGACCTGGGGGAGGAGGGGAGAAGAGTCCCCCAGATTGGGGGGGGGGGGCTCTGGCTCCAGTGAAACACCAGCTGCGTCTGATCTGGAGCAGGAAAGATCTGGCAGAATTTGCCTTGGCACAACAAGATGGCAGCCATTTTATTGATCCGTCCCCTCCCTTTGCTGGAAAAAAAGGTTCTGAAGAGAGAGGGCAGGGTCCCCACTGGTTCTGGGGCTCAACCAGATGGAAGAGGCTATAGACCGGCCCAAGGTTGATTTAGTCTTTCATCCTTCTGAGGTTGGTAAAAGGAGGATCCAGATTGTTGGGGGAAAGATGCTGACTCTGTAAACCGCTTAGACAGGGCTGTAAAGCACTGTGAAGCGGTATATAAGTCTAAGTGCTATTGTTAGACAGGCAGAAGTGTCTCAAAGCACTTCTGCTCTCTCCTTTCTGCTTCTTCTGGGAGATTCTTAAATGGTGTGTGTGTGTGTGTGTGTGTTGTGGGAAGGGTGAAGGGAAATCTGGGCTCATCCTGGGGGCAGCGCAGGCTGTTGGAACAGTTTCTTTGCCAGGCCAGTTCAGGGTTGTGCGCCCAGAGCCCTTGTGTCAAACCAGAGTCTGTTCCTCTGGATTGGAGTGAAAACATTACAGAGAGTCCACAACTTACCACAGTTCATTTAGTGACTGTTCAAAGTTACAGCAACACGGAAGAAAGTGGCTTATGACCATTTTTCACACTTAACAACCGTTGCAGCCTTCCCCAGGTTCACGTGATCAAAATTCAGACGTCTGTCAACTGATTCGTATTTATGACGGGTTGCAGCATCCCGGGATCGCACGATCTCCTTTTGAGACCTTCTCCCAAGCAAAGTCAATGGGGGAGCCAGATCCACTTAACAACCGTGTTACTAACTTAACTAACTCAACAATTGCAACGATTCACTTAACAACGGTGGTTAAAAAAAGTCGTAAAACGGGGCAAAACTGATTTAACAGAGGTCTCACTTAGCAACACAAATGTTGGGCTCCATTCTGGTCATAAACTGAGGACTATGTTCTGTATTCGAGACGGGGGGGGGGGAACCAGAGGGACTAAGGAGCCGAAGATCGCCGAAGCAGGAGGAGCCGCCTGGCTTTCCGTTCGGAGCCGGAGGGAGGACGGGGACAATCTTCCCTACCCAGGACCTCTTGCCCGCTCGCCCGCTTTTCCCGCCCAGCCGCCCTCCGGACCCCGCATCCCTCCTCCCCGGGAGATTTTCGGGGTACCCGCCAGGGCAGGGAGTCGCCTAAGGGCTCTCCAAGCGCGCGCCGACGCCGCCCACTCACCCGCCGCGCCCGGGGCTCAGCGCGCCTCGCCTGCCCTCGCCTCGCTTCCGAAGGTCGCCGGCCTGCCCGGCTCCAGCTGGCCGGGGAGGGGGGCAGGAAGGCCGCTCCGCCGGCTCCGCCCAGAAGCGCCCAGGCGGGGAGGGGGAGAGAGAGAGAGAGAGCGAGAGAGAGCGACAGCGCCGGCAGGACTTAGTCCAGCCTCCTCCGCGGAAAAGGCTGCGAAGTAACGCAGCCTCCCTTAGGAGATGCTCCACTGAAGCGAATCCCGCGCGGCAACGGCCCCGAGCTCGAAGCCGCGGAAAGGCAGAGGCGGCGCTTTGGCCCCGTCAAGTAGGCGGGCTGGAGCTCCCAGTGGCGCTTCTTGGGGGATAGGATAGGATAGGATAGGATAGGATAGGATAGGATAGGATAGATATTGGAATGAATAGAATAGAATAGAATAGAATAGAATAGAATAGAATAGAATAGAATAGAATAGAATAGAATAGAATAGCTATTCGAATGAATAGACTAGAATAGAATAGATGTTGGAATGAATGGAAGAGAAAAGAAGAGAAGAGAAGAGAAGAGAAGAGAAGAGAAGAGAAGAGAAGAGAAGAGAAGAGAAGAGAAGAGAAGAGATATTAGAATGAATGGAATGGAATAGAATAGAATAGATATTGCAATGAATGAAATAAAACAGAACAGAATAGAATAGATATTGGAATGAATAGAATAGAATAGAATAGAATAGAATAGAACAGAACAGAATAGAATAGAATAGAATAGAATAGATATTGGAATGAATGGAATAGAACAGAACAGAATAGAATAGAATAGAATAGAATAGAATAGAATAGAATAGAATAGAATAGATATTGGAATGATTGGTATGGAATAGAATAGAACAGAACAGAACAGAATAGAATAGCTATTCGAATGAATAGACTAGACTAGAATAGATGTCGGAATGAATGGAAGAGAAGAGAATAGATATTAGAATGAATGGAATGGAATAGAATAGAATAGATATTGGAATGAATAGACTAGAATAGAATAGATATTGCAATGAATGGAATAGAACAGAACAGAATAGAATAGAATAGAATAAATATTGGAACGAATAGAATAGAATAGAATAGAATAGAATAGAATAACAGAGTTGGAAGGGACCTTATAGCTCATCTAGTCCAACTCCCTGCTTAAAGCACGAGACCCTACATCATTTCTGACAGATGGCAGACCAGTCTCCACTTGAAAGCCTCCAGTGATGAAGCTCCCACAATTTCTGAAGGCAATCTGTTCCATCGGTTGATTGTTCTCACTGCCAGAAGATTTCTCCTTATTTCTAGGTTGTATCTTTTCTTGATTAGTTTCCTTCCATTATTCCTTGTCTGGCCTTCAGGTGCTTTGGAAAATGAAGCCTGGCTCTCCAGCTCCATCTGAAGGGACTTCATGTGCAGAGGCAGTCCAGCAGCAGCTTTGTGCCTTGTCACTGTGGCCTTCTTCTGGGGTAGACTTCTCAGGGATCTCCTGGTGGTCTCCCATCCATGAACTGGCAGGTCCGACCTTGCTTTGGGTGGTGGACTATTGGAAAGCACCGGATTATAGGCTATACTAAGAGGTCTGAAAGGGATCCTAAACAAAAGGTACCAATTAAAATAGTTTGGATATGGAGTCACCAGTCTTTTCATGGAGCCATAGATGCTATTTCAAAAAGTTAAGCAGGTTTGTTAGTACTGAGAGACCACTGAGAAATCTCAGGCCTTTGTTTGTTTGTTTTTAAAAGGTTTTCTTTTTGGTTCTTTTAACTTTTTAAAAGTTTTAAACACTTTTTAAAGTTTAGTTGAACTTTATTCTTCTTACACAAACTTAGCTTATTATAGCATACTTTTATAGTTCACATATATACCTGTTATTGTTATTAACATGTATTGCTTTTTAACAAAAAAAATAATGTTGATAAAATTCAGTCAATAATAATAATAAACAGAAACAATTGAAGGAGAATAAAAGGAATAATAAAAAGCCAAATAACATTTAGTAAGAAAATACCAGCTTGATATGAGAAGGATGATAAACTTTGGAAATTGTTAAACAGCAAATTATAGCAATGTCCATAATAATAATAATAAATTATTAGATATAACTGCTGGTTTGTACAATATAAGTAGAATAAACTATTTATGACAAAGCAGACATGATTGTATCCAAGCCTGAACAAGAAAAAAACATACTGAATAATAAAATAATGAGGAAAGATTTCAACTAGAATGCAGTATGGGCAAAAAAAAGATGAACTGAATGGGTGGCAATTGGGGATCTGAGGACACCAC